ATTATGAGTTAATTTCTTAATGCTGGCCAGAGTTAATTGCATGTTTTGCATACCATGCATGCAATTGCCCATCTCTAATTTTGATACTCCCTCAAATGAGAAGGGAATCATAGCCGAAGCCAATTCAGATGCCAAAAAAGAACCATCTTCTACAATGTTAAGTGAATACAATGTAATTCTATACCCTAATGATCGTAATATTAATCAATAACTTGAAATTCCCATTTTAAACAATAAAGATACCTACCGATGGCTTGTATGCTGAAAACTTTTATTTTTGTAGCGATCTTAATGGAAACACCCAAATGATCAAGTAAGAGTGAAACAAGATTTAAGATGTCACTATGTAATGACTTCTTTGTATCGCCAACTACATGATCTACTTTTGGTAATGAAAGTGAACCAGCAACTTCCATATGCCAAATTTCTTTATAGTCAAACAATCGGATCCCTTCAGTATTTAAGAGATTTGTTAAATAATATAAATATAAGATAATTAAAAGCATTTGTAGTTTACCCTTCGCGTCCAGTTTGACAATTCCGGAGCTGGTAGATGATTTCATTAATTTTGCAGATAGAGAGTGGGATTCAATCCAATCAAAAGATACTGAATGTTGTTTCATAGAACTTGAAAAGAGAAGATAAATTTTGAATGATATATTTCCTTTCTCCAATTGTTCTCGACAAGCTAGGAAAAACATCTACCAAATTTTAACTAGAGCAAAAGTAGGTATAAGCATCTATTCATCGAATTTAATAACAAATAAAAAGACCCACAAGTCCATTAAAATCTTTGCAATACAAGCAGAACATGTTCTCATCTATAGATGCTGGTGAAATTAATTTCACCAATTTCACCAATTCACCACCAATTTCACCAATAGTGGTGAAATTATTTCACCACATTTCACCATATTTCACCAGCATCTATATTCTCATCATCTCTCTCGATTTTTAACATAATAGCTTTCTTGAAATCTTCGCCTGATTTCTGTAAACGAACAGAAGATATCAAATATGTTCCAATCCAATACTAATTAATATTGGTAAGAACTTACTATTAAAGCGTTTTCAAGATAACCCTCAATTTTGGTCTACATAGGTGGTGCCTGAACGTGAACCCGGTTGCACTTCAATGATTGTCCCATCGCATCAAGATAGCTAACATAATAAATTAATATAAAATTTACTTCTTTATATTATAGGCTTGTTACAAATATATGGGACTCACCTAACAACCTTCTCATCATTCATTTTTTTATTTGGTGTATGAAGAAGGTCATCATTTCGTGGTCAAGGTGGTGGTGTGGTTACCCCATGTATGCATTTCATGGTTGATTTGGTGATGTATTGCTCCATGTTCCTAAGTTGCAATATTATATTATTGTGTTAAGTATTTCTCCGACATGTGTACCCGGCGTGATGCAATTTTTCACATAGTAAAAAATTAAAAATCACATGAATTATACAATTATTTACATCACATGCACATATAAATAGTATTTTAAAAAATTGATCTACGGTATTTATCACGCCAGGTACACATGTCGAAGAAATACGGTACATTACAATAACTGAATACTTTAGAAAAGTTACTATACCACTAACATCACTGAATTTTCGGTTGTATTATTAGATAAATTTTCATATAACATTAAAAAAGTGAAAGAATTGGTTTTTGAAGAAGTGGATGATTCTTCACAAAAAGGATCATCTTCATTTTCATCATAATTCTGTTTGTATTGCAAAGGATTAAGAATTTTAATCCAGTTGTTATAAACCTATAACAACAATTATCTTATAAGTTTTGATATGTTTTTAATATTAGAAGAACTTTTTATAGTTTGCTTATCAGTTTGACTTATCTTTTTGAAAATAATCCATTTTTTGACTCTTTCAACATTAGGAGAACTCCTTGTAATCCGTTTATTTGTTTGCTTTGCTTCTTTAAAAATTTACAAATAATATTATTACATATTCTGTCTGTCTTGTTACCTTAAAAAAAAGACATTAATTATAAGATATTTACTGCTTTTTTGTCAATCTTGTATTTGAAACAACTTCTAATTTATTGTTTAGATTTTCGATTTTCATTAATTCTTAATATGGCAATTTTTTTTGACTCAAACTTGCTTTAAAAGAATCAAATACTTTCAATTCTGTAATACAATATAATTTTATTCAAATCATTGACTTATTCTCTTTTCTATTCTTTCAAGCAATATTTTAACTTCTGTTCTTTTAAGAGTTTTATCAAATGAAGAATAGATTAAAGACATCTTATTTTATATATAATACAATAAATTTTGTTGATTGCTAATTGATTTGAGTTTTTTTTTTTATATTTTCAAGTATTGATTCTAAATTATCAAAATTTATATGTTATTTTTTAGTATATATTAAAGGCAAATATAAG